GCGTTTGCGATTCAACTTTCTCACTAAACAAAAGTTTAATCCACCATGCATGCAAGTGCAATCAAAAATGTGCTCGTTATCCTGTATTTTTATATAGAAATCTATTTCAATAGAAAACGCTTCATTTTAAATTCTTCGAAAATCCTCAGAAATCGAGTTACATTTCAGCATACCGAAACGCCTTTTATCGTCACCGGCTGCCTATTCATAGGTGTCGGGTTCGCGATGGTGCTTGTCTGCGGAATTCTTCAGCGAAAGAACGTCACCAAATTCGTCGTTGATATGAACAGAGATTTGTACTTCCTAAATATTAACAAAAGTCTTATGTGGAAATCGATGTTCGATAGTCGATCTGAACTGCCGCTGTCTGAATGAGAACCATTCTTCGTGAAGATCTCACCCATTCAGGATTCTGAAGGAAACATGTGTCTCTAGTCGTAGTCGCCTTTGAGCGACGATGTGCTACATCTTGCTTTTGAGTCGGGTATTGATCCGCAAGTGTCGAAGAGTTGTTATGTTATTTGCTGTCAGAAAAGTTTGGCTGTGATATGGTAACGTGCCTCATTCCATAACCTGTGTATTTGTATTGCATAATAAAGGAGAATAAAGATTCGGTAATATAGTAAAATGAAAAATTGTACAAAATCTGATGTGCCGTTCATAATGTGAAGGACTACGAAGAATTCAAAAAATGATTGTAGGATCCTAAGAACAAATACAATCAATCCCTTTTTGGGATGCGGCACGCATTCTACTTCCATTTGTACATTCGCAGTGGCGTTTGAATGCGATGTGGCCTATACAATGACTTGCGGGGGCCAGCCGATGTACAAGTCAGTGTTTTTATCCTCCCAGACAAGTCTGGTACCAATTAACCGACCCCGGAGGGATGGAAGGCTTGGTTGGCCCGGGCGACTCACGACCCAGGATTTGATCCCGGACCGCTCGCGTGGTGAGCAGCGCCGCTTGTCCTAATGATAGTTGGAAATATTCATAATGGTTACCGAATGTGAGCTGGTTTTCGATAATCTCCTTCTCTTGGATGGATTTAGGTTGAAAGGAATTTATCCATTTATTATGTACACCGCTGCTCCTAAAAGCGCAACTTTTCTAATTCCCTCGTTGGGCAACCTATAAAGCGCTTCACCAATGTCAGGAAAAGGGACTGAAAACTAAAATGGGTTCCACTATAAGTGAGGATTTCAAAGTTGCCGAATTTGAGCCGGTTTTTGAGAAACACTTTCAGCTGGATTAGGTTTACTAGCTTCTTACAAGTCCTCAAGAAAGAGCTCAAAAGCTAGCCTGTCACTGACTAAATCATGTACTCCATATGGGACAGAGACTCTTATCACTGCAGCGAATCTCGGACAGCACCTACTCAAAGATATCAAAGAAATAA